TTTTGATAACAAAAATACTGCCGTATATAGGGTTTTTTTTTAATCCTTTGTTGGTTTTTGGTAATACAAAAATTTTTTTAATAAAGTGTGGCCTGACTGCCGAATTTAAAAAAAAATTATATATCAAATATTAAAAAGAATTTTACTAACTATAACTGTGAGTAATTATTATTGCAATTATATAATACATAAATTATATATAATTTGCTATATATTTATATTACAAATAGATATAATCACATGATACTATTTTTATAGCTTCAACTATTCTATTAGCAATATGCAACTATATACTCCTATATACTACTTTATTATACTTAGTACAATTTGTGTTATTTTGCTTATACTCAACAATATATACAAAGCTTATTTCACTCAATCTATAATTACTTTACTATAGCTATTACCTTCATTTTGCTCTGTTTTCTAATTATTCAGTACTTTCTTTTTTTTCTTATACTAATTTAGAATTAGTAATATTATAATAAATCTAATTATAACTAGAATTTGTATAATTTGTACTAAAACTAGTTGCAATTAGTTTTATTATATAAATTAAATTAAACTTTATTCTAAATATTAATACAGTTAGTTATAGAGTCCTTTTATATTTATTTATATTATTATTATATACTATGTATTTATGTACAGATTCTAAAATATCTAGTTACATATATTAGAAAATACAATTTAGTAATATATATAATAGTAAAATTAAAAAAAAAACAAGTTATAACTTGTTATAATTCTGGTATAATAAAAAAAACAAGATTAGATTTATCTAACTAAATCTAACTATAAATTAATATTACTTGTTATATTTTGCTTTGTTTTTAGTATTATGATCTAATTCCTTATAAGCCTTATATATATATTTTCACTTAGATATATTATTATCTATAACTTGTATTTCTTTATTAAAATTACTTGATAGTATACAAATATTGTCTTCAATATTATTTAGATTGATAATACCAAAAGGAATTCTTAAAGAAGATACTTGCTGAGTATGTTGTATATATAAATTAGGGTCAAATAGATTAATTACACTATTTTTAGAAATGATACTATTTTTGCTAGTTTCAGATATTGATTTGATTTGTTTTGTTAGTAGTTAACTACACTATTTTCAAACAAAAGAATCAGTTACATAAAGATTTTTATCTTTTTATTATTTATAATATCAATATTGCTTTTCTTATAATTAATAAATCTATTAACTATATCAATAAATTTCTTTTCTTAATCTAGATTTAGTGCTAAATTAAAAGCTTTTTTTATTAATCCAAATCTATATGTATATTTTGCTTTTTTTTATATAAGGTAGATGTGGGTATTGTGGCGAAGAGGGTATTGTGGTGAACCTAGTGTATCTCGTGACCTAGTGAGTGAAATTGAGTAATTTTTATACCATTCAATTCGTCTTTATAAGACGAATCGAATGGTGCAAAAATCATCTGATTTCGATCACTAGGTCATGAGATATAATTATCAAAATGACAAAAAATCAGTAATTTAATAAGAATTACGGCAAAATATAGCAAAATAAACTATTTACTAAGTAAATTATCCATAGTCCTGAATTACATATTACAAATTGAAAAAAAATTTAAATATTTGACAATTTTTATTAGGCGAGCATTGTAGCTAAATTACTCTAACTATTAAACTTAAGTTTACATGTATAAACTTTTGTGCCCAATCCATTGTCCCATGATAATGTTATAAGTTTATATGTTGTGGGTTACCATATTATGGGTTCATGTATGTTACAGGTACCATATTATGAGTTCAATTATGAGTTTGTGTCGCGTAACCTTAATTTAGAAATTACCTAATACGAAGTTCCAGATGGTAATTCCAAATAAAGTATAAAAAGGAAGTTCTAAGTATCAAACTCGCGTTAGTTTATAATAATTTCACGTTAATTTATATAAAAGCCGCGATCTTTTATTTAGAACTCCAAAAGTTTTTTTTTTTTATTTTTTATTTATTAGATATTTGCTTAACTATAGTATAAAAAAGTAAATGTATAACTCTAAATAGTTTTTTTTTATTTTTTTATTATTAGATATTTGCTTAACCATTGTATAAAAAAGTAAATGTATGAAAGTAGTCAAATAAATAAAAAAGAAAATAAAAACGCATTGAAAAATTTTAACTCGCACAATTTATTAATAAAAAAAAATAAATAAATAAGAAGTTAAAGCAAAAAAATAATACAAAATCAAAAACGATGAAAAAAACCAACCAAAAAAATCTAAAACTGACTGAAAAAGACCGTCACGATGCAATTGAAGCTGTCCTAAAAGAACTTGTTAACTCTGATAATCTTAGTGTAAATGCTGCAGCTGCAAAGTTTGGAATTCCAGAGACAACACTTAGGCGTGCGGTAAAAAATGGTCATCATAATCGTCATGGTCCTGCTACAGTCCTGAGTAGCCATGAGGAGGAGCAACTTGTAGAGTACTGTAAGAATATGCAGAGATTGGGTTTTGGCTTGACAAAGTCAGGTGTAAATTATTGTGTGATGGAAATTGTACAAAATGATCATCGCAATCATCCTTTTGCCAACAAAGGACCAGGTAGAGCTTGGTGGGCTCGTTTTATGAAAGACCATCCTGATTTATCTTTTAGAATGCCTCAAGCATTATCAGAAGCTCGTGCTCAAAGAGCCAATCCAGTAATAATAAATGATCACTTTGAGAAATTACAAAAGATAATTCAGGAGTACTCACTTACCTCAGACTGCATCTGGAACATGGACAAGATCGGTTTTGTAATTGCTCCCAAAGTTCAAAAGGTTCTCACCATAAAAGGTGCCCGCCAAGTCCATAAGGTCTCATATGGAAATGTGTATGACTATATATCTGTCGCCTCAACAATTTCAGCTGCAGGTGATTATATACCTCCATTAATCATCTATAAGGGTATCTGCACAATTCCAGGTTTATTAGCTGGAGCTCCTCCTGGCAGCGTAATAGGCTTCACAGATTCAGGGTATATGCGGAAAGACCTGTTCCAGATGTACATTGAGCACTTCATCAGTTCAATTCCAGCTACTCGCCCAGTCCTATTAATGCTTGATGGCCACAAAAGCCATGTAAATTATAGAAGCGTTAAATTTTGTTATGATAATAGAATTTTACTCTATGCCCTTCCTCCTCACACTACACATGTGCTTCAACCATCCGAACTTCCCTTTGCCAAACTTAAAAATGAATATAGCAAAGGTTGTGACAAGCTTCACAATGATAAAGGCGAAGTGGTTACTAAACATACGTTCGCTAGTATTCTCAGACCAGCATTTGCAGCAACCTACACTTCTGAGACAATTACTAACGCTTATAGAGTTACTGGGATTTGGCCTTTTAATCCCAACGTGATTAGTCCAGATCGCCTTGATTCTTCATTAACTACTGAACAACCCGATTTATTACCTTCATCTCAGCCCGTTCAAACAATTGAGGAAGAATTATCAACACCAGCAGCTATAACCTCCTCCCGATCAAACCGTACTCGAGCTGGCACTGTTAAAAAGCTGGAATTATTGCAGGAAAAAGTTAAATCTTTAGAAACTGAGGTGGAATAATTAAAAAATGAAAACGAATTAATAAAAAAAAATTTTACCTTAGCAAGAGAAGAGTTAGAAACGTATAAAAAGCCTGGTACCTGTTCACTAAAATTGGCTCTTAAATACCCTGTCTCCCGGCTTCAATCACAAACTACAGAAGCAAACTCTAATAGCACTACCGAATCTCAGTTCCGGCCTACAAAAAGGAGGAAAACCTTACTCTTCGCTCGTCTCCTTACTAACGACGCATTTTTACGAGAATTAGAAGAGGCGGAAGAGTTAGCTAGAAATAAGGCTGAAATCACAAAGAAAAAAAAAGAAGCTGCCGTGCAAAAACGAGCAGAGTGAGAACAAAAGAAAGCTGAAACTGCAAGTAAAAAAAAAAAAAAAGGGGGAGTAAATTCTGAAAATAAGAATTAAAAAGAAATAGAATTATGAGAATAAGGATTATTTCTACTGTCGGTTTTGCATTACAGTATAACGATAATAAAATTATTCGACTATAAAAAAAAAAAAAATTATCGATCATCATTTTTTATCAGCTTCGCCACAATACCCTCACTAAATTAAGAATCGTTACTACTTAAGGATTTCTAGTATAACATTATAAAGTCAAATATATATATATATACTTATATAAAGCAAGATAAAACCTATATATATATTAAAATTTACAATGAGATTCGCTTTTTTCATAAACTTTTTTTAATAGAGACTATTAACTTCGCAACAATACCTACATTTACCTTATATATTAAAATTTACAATGAGATTCACTTTTTTCATAAACTTTTTTTAATAGAGACTATTAACTTCACAACAATACCTACATTTACCTTATATTGTTTAACTTTATTAGTAAATATATTTTATACTCTAAGCTAATTAAAAATATGTAAATCAGCTATTAATAGTTTATTAAAATTTTCTTATTGAAATTGTATTACTATTCTAATAGTTTCATATTGCAAATTGATTTGAATATTTTGATTTTGAATATGTTTCAAGTGCTATCTTTTGGCTATAAGACTAATATTGAATTTAACAGCTTTAGAATTCATTATAATATAAAAAAAATTGAAGTAAACAAGTTTATAGTTAATTATAGCTAAATATATATATAAATAACTACTATTAACTAATAAATCAATATAGTATATATATGATTTAATAAAATTAAAAGTTAGGTCTAGCAATCTTAGTATAGTAGTTAGGTTGTCAGACTACTATATAAGAGGTCTAGAGTTTAAATTCTATTGTTAATAAATTTGAATAATTATCTAAGTCTTTGTATCTAACTTATAGTAAATCTTTAAATTTAATACCTTAATTTAAATATTGCATATTGTTTTTAAACTTAGTAATATTATTAATTAATTAATAATTAATTAGTTTAATTAACTAACTGTTTAGATAAATTATACAAATGATGAATTAACTTACTTTTTTTAAAAAATTAAAATTATTTTCTTTTGTTTTTTGTTTTTCTTGA